ACGGAGCTATTAGTGCTGATAGCGAAAATACCTTCGGCGCTACTCGGGCAAAACCCCCCAACTCAACGTGCCAATATTTTTAATAGTGAATCGTATTAGCTGTTTAGTTGCCTATAAGAAAGCAGCAAAATCTTCTAGTTGATGATTGACGTATCACTTCCGTCAGATGCCTGATTTGATAGCGAAGTTACGCTTGGAAAGCGTAAAACTCGCACTCATCACACGAATTTTCCTCGTAATTTTGCAAAAATCACTCCTCAAGCGTGGCCATTTTTTTGGGTACTGGACTAATGAGCTGCTAAGCGACCCATTCGATAGAAAAAATCTTCTAGTTTTGATGACGTGTCAACTTTTTGAATTGACGGAAATGAAAAGCAATTATTGTCTCCGGAAAGTGTAACAATCCGTGCCCGTCTCGAATTTCCTCGTTATTTGATCAATATTGTATTTCTAAAACTTCCTGTCATTTCAGTGCTGATTAGAAAAAGCTCTTCACAAAACTCCCAAATCAGCTTTCAGATTGAAAATTCGTTAACTTTGAAGAAAGATATAATCATTTGAATATTTGTTCAAATTCAACTAGTAAATAAGCTGCTCCACGTCAACGCCCAAAGCCAGTCACACACAGCTGGCGAAGGCTTACAAGGCCCTTTGAAGGCGAAAGGTACTGTACATGAAAACCATAATCTGTGTAGTGCTAGAATTTGGTAAGTCTTATGGAGGAAATAAACAAAGAAAAGGTGTTGTCATAGTACGCCATTTCTAGTGACTAGTTTGACGTTTTTATCTCCGTTTTTCGCTTGCTCGTTTGACAGGACTCGTCATTAATGATCATTCTTTGACTGTTTTTATACTTTTTAAACAAGTTTTTTTGTGGACGATGGGATAGCAGGGCTTTTTTATGAGCAGTTTTGGTGGAGAATTAAACAACTTTTTCATAGTTCGGCTTTTAAAGAGGGTTGTTTCATGGACTTCGGCCTTCGGCAGAGGGAGGGAGGGGGGGGGGGTCGTGTTTCCGAATTTTCCTCGACGCCTCGCTTGACCCTGAGCCCACCATGTGGCGCACACCGCCACCCGGGGTAGGGTTTATGTAGGCTTATGCGAACAGCAGGGTTAAGACGGGGCTAAAGTAGGCGTCAGTGTCTCATCATCCAAAAGAAGAGCTTGCTGTTGACGACAAGTTCGTAACCCGCCTTTCCGCTTCAAAACTAGGATGCAAAGAATGAATGGAAGCTGTAGGTGACATTATCGAAAATGCCGAATAACAACCCCGAGCAAGGATGTGGCTATATTTAGGGGAAGGGGTCTCGGGAAGTGTGAACCATGGGTAAACCACCCATCAAATAGTAAACTTATGTAAATTAAGACAAAATGTACGTAAAATTTATTGTAGGTTTGTCAAAAATCCAGTCGTCCAGGTCCTGGGAAGATATGCTATTCCACATTGCTGAGAGTATATACGGGTATATTAAGGTTGCTAGAAACATCCCAAAAACAAAAGAAATAATCGTGCGCCACCATGTGGCGCACGCCGTCCGTTATATGTTAAAGACCGTGCGGGGTTGATTTTATACGTGTTTCGCACCTTCAGGGTTCGAGATTCGAAATGCCAAAAGCACAGGCTCCCTCTGTACGAATCTGATAGCAAAACAGAAAAATTTCGAGAAGATTGACACGATTCGGTGCGTTTACGAACAGAACTGGCCAAAGTAGCCAGGCCCCTAACTTCGAAATGGCCTTCTCTCAATCCCCGATCTTAGGATTGCGGTACCGTTAAAATTCCTTGACCGTGGATTAACACTGCTACCCAAAGGAGATCTGTGCACGTTGAAGGGGGAGTTTACGATGAAAAGGCTGCATACTAGAAATCAAGCTGAAGGTGGTAAGAGATGTAGGTATGTAGATAGGAGCTGAGAATGAGATTTCTTTCGCCCGCTGATTACGCGACGCGCGTCCCCGATCATTACTCACCTCACAAACGCTTTCTTTGCTAGCAGATAGGCCAGGTGACGACAGGTTGGGCGGGCAGCGGCGATAGCGGTGTAGAGACCGCCTACATCGCCGGGAGCATATGGTTCGTTGCGATCCGCGACCTGGAGGAGTCTGAATCAGGGTCAACCGTCACGTTCGAACATTTTCGGGATTTTCGCGACCCCCTAGCTCTCGACGGGTCCAGTTGCGACCCCTGTTTTTGTTAATAAGACTGCTAGACATGAATCCGTTGAACCAGAAAGCGTCTGCGCGTCGTCGCGTCGGCCTTGGAGCGCGGTAGGTATCAACCGAGCGCTGGAAGAATAACTTTCTTGGGACGTATTTTTTTGACTTGTTGAGGTAGGTTTTGATTGTGCCTGAGGTGCGCTTCCAGAAAACTACAAGGATTGCCTAATACAAGGATTGCCTAACTCCCCGGAAAGTCTTCTGTTAGAAGTGGAAAACCAAAATTTTAAGAAGGCGCACTTTCACTTTGAAGGCCCATAAAATCTTTCGTATGCGACATTTTGGAATCTGTAAAAGTTTCTGAAACTTCAAATGTTTCTCTAACAAAACAGTATAAAAGTTGACGATTGTCCTCTTTTCAAAAAATCGCCCGTTCGAACACTTTTTTTGAAATCGCGAGTTTTTGGCTTTCAGCGGGCATAACTCACTTCATTTTCATTCTGTGATGCCACTTTCCATGGGTGAAAAGAGCTGGATTTGCTATTTCTAACAAGTCTTAAACGTTTTTCAAAAGTTCATTTTCGAAAAATCACAACGTTCGAACATTTTGGGGAGTTTTGCCGAACACTTTTTTTGAAATCGCGCGTTTTTTGGGCTTTTAGCGGCTATAACTCCCTCATTTTCACTGCTGTGATGCACTTCTATCATGGGGTGAAAGAGCAGGATTTGCTCTTTCTAACAAGCCTTAAACCGTTTTTCAAAGTTCATTTTTCGAGAAAATCCCACGTTCGAACATTTGGATCCCATAGGTTTTTGAGCAGCACATGCGAGTTTTCGAGCTTTGAGCAATAATAACATCCTTCAGAGAGCATTTTGGAAAGAGGCGAAGACATTTTTGAAGACGACGAGGGTTCTTCTTTCTTATTTGTTTCATCATTGTCTGGAAGAACCGTCCTCAGAAAAGTAGGTCCCCGAAGAAGTTCAACTTCAGCCCCGAGAAGATAGAGATGCATTCAGCTGTTCTTTATTCCTCAAGAAATACGCCGTAATTTGCCTAAAACTATCTCTCTGTGCATAATTAATCAAATCTAATGCGGTCTGCACGAGCAAGTCTTGCCCTCGGATACGCCACGCACGCGCCTGTGGCTGGCATCTTGAAATTGCGACCCCCTTCCGTCCAAAATGCGACCCCTTCGTTCGAACAGTTCGAACGGACGGTTGACCCTGGTCTGAATGTTTTTCCACTACATGGGCTTCCCCTCCTTCGACCCCCGACCTTATCGGTGGAATTTCCTTGAAGAAAACGAAAAGAGCAGGATTTGCAAACACCAGCCACTTCGAGGTCCCGTGAACCCGACAGAAGGCCCGTCGCGCGACGAGAAGGCAGGCGCGTACGAGTCGCAGCGCATACTGTGGCGATTGCGCGTCAAGTTTAATGGAACGTATTATAGTACGTCCACATCACAAACGACGACTCGTCCACGTCTCTGACCTCCCTCCGCGCGACGGGCCTCCTGTCGGGCACCCGGAGGTCCCACCGAAGCTATTCAACGAGTGCCAAGCCAGCTTTAGATCAAACTACCAAGGTCTAGCATGTACATAGTTGTAGTCATTTTCACATCCGCCATTGAGTAATGCGAGTGCTGGAGCTCCTGTACAGTCGATATTTCGAAGTATGATTGGGCGTGTCACCAGAAATGACGTGGCAACCACTGCACTTGATAGATGTTGTGTGGGTAAAATACTGCGCCAGATATCAGCAAAGCGTGTTGGAAGCAGCTTATCCACTCAGCTTCCAACAGGCGACTTGCTCCGAGATATCGACTGTACGTGACGGCTAGTAATTACAAGTTTTCCTTTCAGAACTTAGTTAATAAACAGCATTTGTTCTCTTGTCTACAAAAGGCCTACACTGTAACGTGAGGCAGTTATTGTCCCGTACTTCACTAGAGCACCTGTTTCGATGTTGTCTCACTATTTCTCCAAAAGCAAGAATTAAGTAGAAACATGACTGTCTCAATCAAGTAAGCCTGAATAAATAAACACAGCATCTAAAAACATTTATTGCTTGCTAGTTACACAATAAATTCTGGGCAAACATGAGGCACTAGCAGTGCATCATGAAATATAAATCGATCACAATCATAAATTTGTTCTATATACTAGAATGACGAGTGAAACCTAATTCTGTGAAAAATTAAGCATCTGACCGTCTACACCGCACAATTTTGGCTAAGATAACCTCGATGGAATTCTTAGAGACAAGAAAAACTCACCTGGTAATAAACAGCCACGTTAAGACACCTATCTCGCACTAAATTTAATGAACTTTGCCAATTAATTGGGCAATAAACGAAAAAGCTTCTCATTACCTGGATCCAAAAGAGATCTAGTGAAAAAAAGCAATTCATTGCGAAGTCGATGCATGATTGGTGTCTCAAGGCTGACGTGATCAACGAGTCTTATAGTAATCTCTACCTAGGCAACACAAATGTCGATTGGTAAAACAGAGGATGCACGAATCGTCTGAAGCTATATCACCCTGTAGCGATCAGCGCAGATGATTTCTTGAGAAGCAAATGACAATAAAACGATGAGATAAAAGGTGATGATGATGACATACACATCGTTCGATACCCGTGTTTGGCACCGAACATTTCAATATACCTATATACACCAATAAAAAAAGACAAGCTGCACGAAAGGATAAGAAACTGTTCCAGATCTCTGTCTGTTTGAAAATCAATCGTAAATGAGAATCCGAAAAAAAAGAAAATGGAACGAACAAAGCTGTCAAAATTCGGTTAAGTAATCACCCCGAGAAAGAAGGATTCAGAACATCTTCAGACTGCCGTCGTACTCTCGCTACTACTTTCATGTTCCGCATCACTTACACTGCGATGAAGCATATTATCCACTCGATCAGTGGCAGATTCAATTTCCTAAGATGAACAGAATATTTAAACTTGTTGACGTGACATAATTCGAGTAAAGGTGCCGGAGCAGAAAGTGTCGAGGATAATGATAATGTGAAAGTGCCTGCAACTAAACCATTGTGCGCAATAAGCAAACTAGCCTGCTCAACAAATCGTGCTCCCTAACCTATGGATAAAGTGTACAGCCATTGATTTAGGTGCACACGGTTTACAGGATTTGCATTATAGTTTGTTAAAGTCCAAATCAGTTAAACAGTACACTGGCACGCCTACTTTTCGCCCCTTTTGACAACAGCCGCAGACCTAATGAAATCCTCAACACTCTTACAATTGTCCCTACTAGATGTGCATGTCGGAATTGCTCGCAAGAGCAAGTTAGCAGTCCGAACTAGCCATTTGTAATGATGCGTTGTGAGCACTGTCAGACGCTGCGCTCGAATCTTCACTTCGAAATCGGTAAAGCGATCCTCCGGAAGGAGTAATGAAGCAATACAACGCAGTAGCACTAGTCCGGACCCACAGGTAGTATTAAGAGATCAGTCTCTTGGTTTCCTTAATGACTGCTCTCAGCAACACAACTGAACACTTTTCAACAGCGTTATTTCATCACCATCGAGTTTGAAAGGTTTGCGAGCAGGGTCAACCGCTCGTCCGGCCGATTCAGACGGGTGTCGTATTCGTATTTTTTGGAAAGAGCTCCCGCTCGTACGCCGTAAACAAAGGTTAATTATGCCCAAAGGAGGTCACAATTGTGGAAATTTAAGGAATTCTGAGAGAGGGTCTTTTTTTGATAGGTTTCTTGTCGAATATGAGGAAAAATTTCACCAAAAAAAGCGCGAAATGAGCAAAATCAGAGCATCTGCAGGTTTTTATAGATATTTCCCTTCACACCGCAGCTCCCGCTCGGTGGCTGTTTTGGAAGAAAAAAGTAGGCGAGGTAAGACTGGGATGACTGGCCTCAAAACCATACCCACATGGTGTTGAGCGTTGTGGTGAGCGGAGGGTCGTACATGAGGACCTCCTACACCTATGGGGTGGGGTGGGGGTCGTACCAGGGTCAACCGTCATATTAGTTCAATTTCAAAAATTGGACGACCCCCTCCCTTTAGAGACTCGATACGACCCCTACCCCATAATAGTTATTGTGTGTAGAGATGAACCATTGCGAGCTGCGCGGGGGTGTCGCGAGTTTCCATAGGCGCGCAGCACCTTTTGCATGTTCTAGGAACGTAAAAAGTTTAGAAATCGGTCAAGTACAAAGGTTGGCCCAGTTTACGGATATTCTTAACATGGATCGGTACCATTTTCCCACGACTGCCCGTGGATCATGGATAAAGGGCCTATGCCTGTTGAATGCTCGTCAACTCTAATTGGCAACTGCGGCAAGCGTTCATGCAATAACGAGTTAGTCTTTGAATCAATCACGTCACCAAAGTAAAACTATTATGGGAGAGAGTTCCACCAAGGACCACACAGCGGTGGGGAATTCTTCAGAACTCTTCATCGTTAAGCAGACGACGTAAGTGAAGAACTAAGTTTTTGGGCACGTACAGCGGTGTACATCTCTTTCGAGAGGTAATGGCAATGAAGGAGCATTCCATCAACAGTAAAAGACTGAACAAAAATCTACAAGGTAATGAATAATTCGTACCTTTATCAATGTCGAATGACTTCGCAGCATTCCGGAAAGCGCTTCATCCTCGGTGAGTCCCAAACCAGACGTGCGAACGCTGGCTAACGAGGAGACTTCAGACGAATCGCTGGGGGAATTCGTTATACCTTGCGGTAATGTTCGATAGCTAACATCAGACGGTGACGGAGAATTCATGCTGAAACATGTTCACCATTAAATCGCATGCTTATTTCCAAAACACGCTTTATTTTGCCTAAAATAAAAACTACCCTGATTTACTTCCGTATCTACACTTACTTTATACCACAACTTCTAATATGGATACTATACCACCCTTTTACTCAAGTAGCGATTGAAAGCGTTACATAGGTAAGTATAATTGATAACCTTATTCACAGCTCATTAGTTTGCAATCGCTAGAGCTTTTAGTACTTCCGCTAAAAGCCCGCACTATGTAAAGGTGGATAGACTCACTGGGGAGAATGTGCGTTCGACTGCATCTTTCGTTTTTCAGATCCACCCCCTCCAATCAGCTGCTGAGCAAGAAGAATGACACCAGATCCAAGTCCTCCAGGACGTTGCGGCCAATCGGCACAATCATTTGCGCTCATCAAACAAAGCACTGGATCGATCACATCATCCTGAATAATGACACACTACTTTTTAATAAGTTGCAGACGTGCGGACAACTTGTCTCAATAGCACTGCAGAAACTGGAGGACTACAAATGAGCTAGCTACAAACACATCAGGGGCAGGGCAACTGCTTAGAGTGCCTACACATGTTAATTTGTTACAAATAAGATTGTCATCTTTTGAAATTCAAACAAGTGCGTTCATTCCAAACTGCTCACTTCCAACACTCACATCTACAGGGGGAGGGCGTGGAGCAATGAAAGTCGCAGTCCCTCCTACTTAGAACGGAATAGTTACCTTGGCCCAAATATGATGCACGATTCGAACTCGACGAGGTTTCCGACGCACCGTGGACCATTGCGATGTTACATGATCGGATCGGATCGGTCGGAAAGAGCCTTGCACATTCACTCGGAAGCTACCCATCAGTTAAGCGGATGAAGGTAACAGTTCAGGCTGGAGTATTACGGTAAGGAATCTTAGAGCTCGATGGTGATGGCAGATGACGTCGTATACGAGGGATCAAAGTGAAGTGGCTCCTTTTTACCGCCCGTTCCTTCACCCCTGAGTTCTACTAAAGAGTATGTTAATGTTAACTGAGGCAAAAAGGAGTCCAACGCCTGTAGAAATTCTGTTTTTTTTTTGTCACAAAATTTCACTTTCGAGATGATCTTTAACACATTGGCGACAATGTCGCCCGATGCCGGGCGACACCCCTAAAATTTTATTCCTCTGCGCATATTTCCAATTTTAAGCGGTGTTGTATTAACCCGGAATACGTTGTCAAACTTATAATGGCCACGTTACTTGAACATCTTTCACAGTGAAAGTTTTACAGAAGGGTTGGTTGGAATTGCTTCTTCAGTAATAAGGTTGTTCTTTCTTTATGTAGAAAGCTGCCTTTTTGTAGGCTATTAGGTAGCTCAATGATACAACAATTGGCAGAAAAGAGACTCGCGTTCAGCCTCATTTGTGGATTCTACAGTGGAAAATTGGAATTTTCCGAGAGCGTTCCGAAGCTTCACCTTTGCGGGACGGGGACAGTTTCGCTTGGTTTGTAGCCATTAAGCATTTGTACGAGACAAATGGTGTTTCAGCAGTTTCCACATTGTGTTCTCATTGATTTGGTATGTACACCGTATGGAAGCGTTTCAGCATTAACGCAATTTTCGGGGACACCCAAAAACTGCTTGGTCGCCAATGTGTTAATGTTGTCCTTTATTCTGTACAAAATACCTACGGCAAACCAAATGAATTCGACTACCACTACTTAGGCGTTTCAAGCATTTATGCGACGATATGGGCGCAGTTGCGAATAGTTCACCGTGTATGGCTGACTACAGCTGCTAAGACAAAAGTCTACTGTAATATGGAAGTGGCCTGGTTTCAGCGGGAGTTCACAACACTGCAAATATTATTATCGTATCACTACATATTGCGTTTATTCATCGGTTTTTCCGATTATATGTTGCCACCTTTCTTTCTGAGGGTCTCCTCAGACCCCGCCTGCCATCTTAGATAAATAACTAACCGCTTCATGGCTGATAGCATATCTTCCGTCATCGTCCTCATAAGGCGGTGGTGCAGTTGGTTGGTAGGGTGGGGGATTTGCAGGCGGATCACGAGCAGACCCTGAATCGAGATCTGTCGTGAAGGAACATTAAACAAGTCTAACGAGTATGCCTACATCCTCCTAAACTTCTTTGCTCATGGATGGAATCGGAAATGCGTTCTAAATTCCGTAACGACGTCGTATAGTCGCACTTCTTTTGCCGTACCTGAAAAAGAACAGTATTACTCCTCATATATTTATTTATTTATTTATTTATTCATACGCTACATAAGGTAGACGTGGGAAAAGAAAACAACAATGTGCTATACTAAATCATCATACACTAAGCAAAACTCAACAGTTCTTTCTTCACAAGGCGTAAATTAAATTACACGGTGGCTAAGAAAAATCCCACTCAATAAAATCTATCATCAATCCTTCGCTTTCACAGCCTTCAACCTTATGAAAATGTTATCGATCGTAATGACCCACATTATTACTGCATAGAGCGGAAAAAAAACGAAACAAAACTTTGGTGGGGGCGAAAAAAATCGGGTGTGTTGATACATCAGAAAATAGAAATAATATTTTACAATTTTTGTAGTAGCAAATGAGAAATTTCGCTCCATCTTTGATTCAAAACATTAGATTACCCTAACGTGTTCATCCCTGACTTTCGCAGTCTTTTGGGATCAGAAATTACTTAGTTTCAGGTTGAGTCATTTACAATTTTGAAATTTATTTTGCATTCTCTAATTTTGAAATATCCCCAATATTCAATGGTCATCTAATAGTCAAGATGTGATGGCTAATACTGTGATATCATTGAATAAATAAATAATAAAATATAAAGACTTCCTCAGAACTCGATGTCAAAAGAATAAGTTTTTAGCTCGCAGCATTTCGCACATTACATTACACAATGGCGTAAGGGTGAGGGCATTTTTAGAGAATTTCCAATTTTGGTGTGACATCCTCAATTTCTCCTTTTGGTCTACTGAAGAAAGTGGGAAAAATAACAGCCAGTGAGACTCCCACTGGCACATTGCTTTACAAATGAAAAGACACATGTTTATTGTTTATTTGTGGGTAAGACATCTCAAGTTTTTTCAGAACTTCTCCAATTAGTCAAAGACGTACTTTCGTTGGCTATTTTGTCGATTTGCACCCTTTCTGACACCAGGAAGAGAGAAGTCTAGCTATTTCAGCAATTTTTTTGAATGTTTTCACCACGACGATATTCGGTTACGCAACAGACACATAAATAAATAAATTCCAGCTTAACACTCCGCTCCAATCCGATTAGTTCCCCATGAACTCCTATTAATGCAATTCGGCGAGTGGATTTACAATCGCTTTCAGTGACGTAATCGAAAAGTAGTGCGATCTTGCGACCCATAAAATGGAGTAGTGCCATGAAAAACTCATGATAAAGTGTTATCTACGAGCCAACTGGGTTATCATCTCGATTCGCAAATCATATGCCGTGGCAAGCAAAGAACTAGTGGATTCGGAAAAGGAGTTCTCTTCAACCTACTGAAAATTCGGTGTTTGAATATAATTTGACGCATTGTAACTAGCGTTCCCATGGAGCATGGAAACTTATATTAATCTCTAGTGCGTGGATAAAACAAAACTTGAATTCCTCAAATATGTGAGGAACAATTGCCTCAAGCTAGCATTTCAAAAAATGAATGGCAAGCTTGCAATAACTAGAAAGGATAAAATTCGACAGTGGCAGAACAATCAAATAATCGCCACTCACCTCAGCCTCAAGTCTTAATATCAGCTCTTTCTGACGTTCTAAGACGCGCGTGAATTCTAATCGCTGGTCGAAATACGTCCGTGATTTCTTTATGGATGACCTAAATTGAAAGGAATAGTATATCTAGCCGAATGATTTCTTTTATTTCGTCCCAGGATTCCAATCCCTGATCATTTTTGCTCATACCGTTGGTCCTTCTCCATTTTGCGGATCTGATCCGCCAACGTCATTAACCGTTCGGAAATCGCACGGTGCTCATTACCACTGATAACTCGCTCTTTTTCTGCCTCATTGACGCGTTGAATGTGATGGTTGAGAACCTGCGACATAACGAATCACATTTGTCGCAAAAACGATGGCTCAAGCATGCATCAGAATTCCTAATCTGCACTGTTAACACAAGACCGTCGTCTTGCGCCTAACCGAGCTTGTGTAACTCAAGTCGCATTTCGTCGCTGTTGTTAAAACACCGAGACATTGACACAATTACGGGCACAAAATGTCAATCACGCGCAAGAGCCGAAAAGTGGCGCTCAAATTAACAACCTTCGTCGTTTGAGAACCAACCATTCCTCCCTCCACCTCCCCTCCCCCACTTCACCCTTGAAAACAAAAAACTAGTAACGAAAACTATAGATGCCAAGCTGGATCTCCAGTAAGGAAGCATGTGATGGGACAGTTGCTGCCGCCTACAAGAATTCCAATTCTTCTGAAGGGAAAAAATTTCCGGAGGGCGTGAACCATCTCTCTTCCGCTTTTACACCCAACGGACTTCACTCCCTTGCAAAAAAAAAACTGGTTCACTTTAGGAGACATGAACTCTCGCAGCAAATGCTCACCTCACCCCCCCCCCACCTCCACCCTACTAGGTGAGACCCAATCCGACAAGCCATTTTCATGTTAATTGAAGTAAGTTGCACAAGCACCAACAAAGGAATTTTTACCAAAAGGAACATAGGGTCTATTCCAGTTAAGAAGCATCGAGATGCAGTTTTTTTCAGAGCTAGGGGAATGTCGAGCCAGGAGGAGTGTAGTCAGTGTAGGGCGTGGGGGGGGGGGGGTGAGGGCAGCCACTTGACATGCGTAAAAAGCTGAAATGTTCGAGTTCATCGAGAAACTGCATCATGATGCCCCCCCCCACTAAATGGAATAGACCCGAAATATATTTTGACACAGCATTCCACATGCTTTTATGCCAAACAAAACCACGAACACGTGGAACTTTGATATGCCTTGATTGTATAGCCCATTTCCCATGAATGAGGAAAGCGTTCTTGAAGAATTTCAGCCTTTTCCTCTTCTAGCATCCTAAGCTTCCATCAGCCATCATGTGCCACCTATAGAGGCACGTGCAAATTGTTTCAATATGGTCAGGTGTTGGAAAACATCGACAGGACCTCAGCGCAGTATCGGCCCGGAACAAACATAACATGATGCAAACAGTTACTTCCATGAAGATAGAAACTCGCTCACTTCAAGACATTCAGGTTGTACTGTAGTCTCGCGGTTAAGACTATCTTGAGTTAAAGCCACTTGTTGTTTGGCAACGGCCAAAAGTGACGTGGCTCTCTCGAAACGAATCGCTGCTCGTTGTGATTCATCGCGTAGTTTGCGTTCCTGAAATAGAATTAATATGCGTGCGTACGCACATAAAATGCGGAATCCATCAAAATCATCTAAAAACTATTTATAGGAATCACATGAGAAAATTAGGCCTTGTGGGGAATGAAGGCACTCGGGACGACTCATTGTGCATCACGGTCCCGAGGGTTCCCCCCACCTTCCATAGCGTGTGAACATAAAAAGACTGGAGAATGGGGATGCATCAAAGGTGGAGAGATTAACTACTCACAAGCAGGCGTGCACAAGTTTGGGAACAGAAACAAAAGATTCACTACAAGGTCCTCGGATAGCTTGAACGCGGAAAAAGCAGATTAGGAAACCTAAAACGGTAAGGGTGGATGCCGAAAAGAAAAAGTTAGCCTGCTCTACTTCACAGCTCTGAAGCCCAGCGTGAGGTGCGCGATAGCCCGCGAAGCCAAACGATATCTTCATACGCACTTTACGCAAGCCACATCCTCTAACCTAGATATTCATTTCCTTCACCTCGACAATTTCCATCGTCGACCATCTAGAAGTTAAAAAAAGGCTGGCAGCGCGTATAAGACTGAGCCCATTAACATCAAAATCACACGGCAGCTTAACGTCAGTGATGATTCACATTCCATTTAAAAAAAGAAAACAGCTGACAGTTGAAGTTGCTCGAAATACTTGTAGAGAATTTCGCAACGAAGAAAGGAACAAAAGACTCATGATGAAGTGATTAGCCAAACTACTGAGAACGAGGAAACTCTCCACTCCGAGCTAAATGAAGACGAAAGATGGCTTTACCAATGAAATCACCTGAATCTTTGCTTCATAGTAAGGTCGAGCTTTAGCGATCGCTGAACTGTATTTTTTCGACAAATCCTTCAGCTTCTCGGACCAGCAAGCTTGGATTTCCCTGAAAAGACAAAAATATAAACTCTTACTGCTTAAACTACTATAATTTGCTTCACGATGAACTCATACCATGGTCTGCTTTTCCAGAGCGACGATCATTCCGCAAATGATCACTCCATAAACATTCAGTAACATTAAGTACATGAGTCATAGAGTGACTTTCGTGGGATACATGGTTTTATCAGGGCTCCATAGTAGTAGGACAGTGCCAAGGCTATGCGAAGAACTCGAGATCAACGAAAACGAGCTCCCTCCTCGAGAACATTTCCGAAGAATCCTTCTTCATTTTCCTATGACTGCCTTAGTAGTACCGAACTGTCTGTGGTAATTAAGAGGTCCTACCTGCATCCAAAAGATTAACCGAGGAAGAAAGAAGGATTATTTGATGTAACTACTGAAATACCAAAAATTGAAAAAAATTACAAGAAACAATGAAATTCGGGATTAGGAGAATTCCTCAAATAGATTTACAACCGCTACTGCAGATACCCCAGTTCGATCTATTTCACGTATTCAAAAAGGTCGCAGTGTTTGTAAATAAAGCTGTCCTCACAAAACTCATCTGATTGATTACCAAACCAAAACCCACGTTTACCTTTTTACACTGTTTACTGCTTCAAATCCACGTCACTTCGTTTGTTCTTTGTGACCGCAAAAAGGGTATCCAACTGAAATAACCAGGAAATCTCTAGGTGCCTGAACTATTTCGCCTTCTGTGCAGGGCACGAGGTGTTGCAACCCTCCACCCTCATACGACGTAGAAACCAGCCCTTTTGGCACATCGGCTGGGACCCTATGCTGAATGTTGGGGAGGGATGGGGTCGCCAACGGTCGACGGTTTATTTCAACTCGGTGGTACGATAGGAGAGTACTGACGCAAGTGGTGCAGCTGGTCCGTAGCTTCGCCAGAAGGACCGGTCTGCCCCCCCTTGGACTAAGCCTAGGAGAGGGGACGGACCCGTCCTCTCTTTAAGGCTTAGTTCTAAGGTAAGCGCCAAATTGTGGCGGTTCTAAGGACCGCGTTGAAGTCGTCCGTCACGTACTCCACCGTCGGGAGCACACCATCCCGTCCCACATTCAGCATAAAGGGTCCCAGCCGATGTGCCAAAAGGGCTGGTTTGCTTACGTCCACCCTCTACTGGATACCCAACCTGAAAATTTCAGCATGATCCAATTGATATAATAGGCCGATCTTAACCTGAAGTAGTTAGTTTGATTACCTTGAAAACAAATTGGGAATTTTTGGGTCACATAAGAGATCACCTTTTCAATATTCAATCATATGGTGGGAAACAGGCCGTCATAACTTTTGCTTTACAAAGACAGTAGCGGTAGACTCGGCTCACATTTGTTTGCGTAGAAGCTCTTGTTATTTGCGACTTGAGTGTTTCTTTACACCTTGCCCATGTCATGCGATGAGGACGCAAGACTTCGCTCCACTTCGTGGGCAAAAACGTTCGAAAGGTTCATCATGAGCACTCAACACACGCAACTTAAGTTGTTCTGTTAGAGGACATTCATAAGCAGACCCTGCTCAGAATCATTAAATTATTGAAAGCACATTCTGTGCGCTTTCATGACTCACTGAGGAAAAGCCGTTAAGTGAGTGATCATTCTCCACACAATTCCCCCATGCTCTGACATCTTGTGGAACAGTTTAAAGTGAGCCAAAATAGAACACTGCCAATACGACATTTTAATAGCTTTTAACACCTATGAAGGAACAATTGGCCATATTTACATCTACGATTTACACGGTGACATCCACTCTGAATCAGTCAGTCCCAAATTTCAATACGAATTATACGGTTTCTCTCGATCGCCCATGTAAAATACTAGCACTTGACCTGTGAAGTTTGAAAGTTACCTGTGAATATTGAGCTCGTTAAAAACCGTGGTTATGACCCGATTTTCTGCAGAAAATTTTCTTAAAGTCTGATCAAAAGAAGCTTCGCACTAAAACCTTGAAAGAAACAGTCTCCAACCTCCCGACCGAATGTGATAAACATTTTCGCGGATTCTCTTACGCTCCATGGTACGTGATGAGTTGCCTGTGAAGTGTAAACAATACCTAATCGGTATCGTGCACACGAAGTAGGAAGTAATGTGAGCATCTGCGGCAGCGAAGCAATTTGTTTGACGTCAACAGCACAGATGGCATTTGGTGTGCCTGGTAAAACGCACTGTGACTTATGCACCACAAATTGGTCTACGCCATTGTTTCATTACGGTACCCCTCCGTTGCTGGACTCAAGGGACCTAGTCGTACCAAATGGTTGTTGCAGATAGCGAGCGCTTTGTTTGCGGCTCAGTGTCTCCCGCAAGCGTTCAGGTCTAAGGCTGTTCACAAAAGCACGCCTACAAAAACAAACAGAAGCATATACGCCAACATTAAACTTCACAGCATAACGAAGAAATGAAATTGCAGACCATGAAAGAGCGAAAAGGAAACGGAAGGAACTAGGTTTAAAAAAATTAATATGAAAGAAAAACTGGCACCTAAAGCACGCTCGAGCGCCGTCAAGTTGAACTTCAAGTTTATTGATTACGTCGGTAGCAATGTTGAGCTTCTCCAACTCCTCGTGAACAAGATTCAAGTGTTTCTGATCAAGTGGTGTGTCATCATCCTCAATTTCCGAGTAGTTCAGCATACTACCAGCGCATGAGTCTTAAAAGAATATGCGTGATGAAAGTGTCAACGAATCACCAGAAAAACCTGTGGAACTTTAGCATTGATCGCTCTATAGCTTCTTTACTACAATAAATATTGATTGGGTTCTCAAATGATATTTCACAACCCATCCACAATAGTATGGGGTATTTCAAGATAAGCGTTTCATAGAAACAGCGACCAGAGAACGAAAAGTGTTTGAACAAAAAAAGTTGAGATAAAAGCAAATATGTGGGAAATATGAGTTCAACAAGTTCAAAGAACTTACCAGAGCCAGTAGAAAGCGCTTTTGAAGTGCCTTTGCCGATATCCAATATTCGTAAAGCGTCATTGGATTCAACTTCCGGCATTAGAATGAGTGATTTGCGAACGAAGATGGCTAGCAAGGCAATTCAATAATATGGGACTAGAAGAATAAAAGCAGAAGTAAATACAAATAGGAAATAAGTAGAAATGACGTCACACGTGTTTCAGGGGCTCCTTAAGAAAGGAGCATGTGTGTGAGACTAACTGAAAACAACGAAATTTACGGCACACAACAAAATGCCAGCGCTACGATCGAGTTGTTATCAGTGAATTCCGTAACTAATGACGTTGACAAGAAATCAATTGTGGACGACTAACAATCGCGAATCAAAGATTAAAAAACACATTCGCAAGTCGTGAGCAAACAAATACAGAACCCGAACGCGATCGGCTTCATTCAATCAAAGTGTATTATGAAAACTATCCAAAGTCATTAAAAACTTGAATGAAATGGTGAACATCATGATGAAACTGGTTTATACAGCTAACAGCTGACGTGAGGTTGGTCACGAGGCTCGTCGCAAGACGATGCATATCAATTTTGATCGATACACATACGGAACGAGGGACGTAGAACTGCAGGCAGAGGACCGGGCACAGAGAGCGTCTAGCGCCCGCTACGATCGACGCCGGCGCGATTCGCAACTTATGCGCGCTGGCGCTCACACATGAGACAGGTGCGACGACCTCGCTGAGACTGGGGACGTGTTTGTGGCTACCATGCACCGCCGGGGCGCGTGATTACCATCCATGACGGGTGGGTGGCACCTACCACTTCGCAGGAGCGCCCGTGTGCGCTACGACAGAGTGCAGTGCACGCGGAATTCTTCGTTGTGAATTCTAAGGTCACCTCGGGAGGACAAGTGGACGCATGTGCGAAGCTTTTTCCACAAGTTCAATTAAGCCGCAGAAGAACCACACTCGGCGTCTCACGTGCTACGCGCTTGGCTGAGTCCTCGAAAAGGGAAGGGTTTCGGTGCGATGACTCAGCCACCATTTTCGACTGGAATGCTTGTCTTTCCGCGAAGGTGGACCGCCTCAATGTCGAGCGAGGACAAACCGGACACAGGGTTCTCATTTATCGCTCATCCAAAACCATGCCGAATTCCAACGGCCTCAACGTGACGTGTTCTGCAGCTATTCATCGAAATGATAGTAGGGATCTAATCTATAAAGAGAGGGGGGGGGCATTGTTGCACGTCTCTGATACCAATATGATTCAGAGAATTCTTTAGAGTTACGAGTTGCTATAAGCTTCATTAATGCGTTGATTCGTCTGGCTTCTTTACTTTGTATAATGTATGTGTGTGTCTCATGACATAAGCTCCCATGAAAAATATCATATTGGGTCTGAACTGGTAAGGGGGGAGGGACACTGCGATTTAGAACGCTCAACAAGTTGGAAACGACGGATAGCATATTCCCTTAGTATGAAGGTTTAGAACTAAGCCTTAGACGGGAGGGGAAACCGCGGGTTCGTGAGCAATCTTCGCTTTCTCCGGGGAGGATTTCCTCCCTCGCCCTAGGCTTAGTCCTAGCTGGTCATTAATAAATATTACTTTTCATTGGCGTTTATGTTAAATATCACAAAAACACATACATTTACAAAAACCAGAAGAAATAACGTAGGAAAAAAATTGATAGCAGCGCTTAACTTCAAAGGAGGGTGGCATCTTTGCGTACTTTGGGAAATCCGTGAGCCAGGGGGACTGTAGGCAGTCTAGGGGGTGGGGGTGCGGGCAGGACTCCTTGAGCCAAACTGGCATTAGAGCAGACTGTGCACCGCAGTCCCCCCTCCCGTAACTGGAATAGACTGAAGACATATTCCTTCTTGCAAACGTTTAGGACCAAGCCTTAGAAGGGAGGGAGCCCTCGGGTCCGGGAACACTTCATTTTCCCCGGGGGAACTCCCTTCCCCTTTCTAAGCTTAGTCCCGAATTGCTGTATAGGTGAATATTACCTTTCATGGACGCTCGTGTCATCTAGTATGAGAACACACCACACACATTTACAAAATATCTCAGGAAATAACATAGGGAAAAGCTGATAGGGTGCACGCATAGTCGGTCGTCCGACAGCAACGATCGCAACTGTCTGACTGTCTAACTGCATCTAATCGTCGGATACTCAGGCAAGTCCGACGATCGATACGCATCCAATGCTGTGCGACAGTTACGATCGTTGCTGTCGTCCGACCGACTATGCGTGCGCCCATAGGAACTCCTAACTTCAAAGGACTCCTCGAGCCAAATTGGCATTAGAGCAGGCAGTGCAACGTAATACCCCTTCTTACCGGATGAGCCCCAAAATATTTACCTAGTGAGCAGCTAGGAGCCTAGGAAGAGGAGGGAATTACTCTTGGGTAAAACGAAGACTGCTAAGTAATCCGGGGTTTCTCCTACCTCCTGGGAATCAGACCTAAACCTTTACAATGTGAGAATATGCAATCCGTGGTTTTGAGAACGTTGAGCGCTCTAAACCGCATCCTCTCATACTGGAATAGGCCCTGCAATAGCATTTGAATAAGAAGAACTCGAGATCATCTAGTTGTTTACATGAGATGGTATTATGGGGATGTATGCACGTTCGGAAGCGCTTTCTAATGATCTGGCAAGTTCAATGGACTCGCTCTATTCGTATTTCCAATGTGTTTACTTTAGTCGCAGCTGTTCGTAACTGTTTTCATTCTTTGGTCGTAGCTTCTATGAAACGTTTATCATTCGTAAGATGCCTCTTATCGGGTTGAAAATGGTGTCGAAGAGTGGCCGCGTTTTTTACGACCCCTCCCCACTTGGCGGGGATTCCGATACGACCCCCTTTTGTTTTCCGCACAGTCGCTTTAATATTGAAAAAATGTCATTTTTAGGTGCTCGACAGGAACAGAGCCCCGCTGCCATTTCGCGACTCTGACCCTCACTAATTCTGCTTAGGCTGGCTTCTTCTTCTACACTCCAAGTTGATTTAATCCATTCCACATTGGCCTACAAGAATTAAGCATTATATCGCCCGAATATGACCTCTCGAAAAGATATATAAGTTTCTCACATATGCTGTAGCCCCTCCAGTTTGCACGGAATACAACCAAACACATGGCGCATTGCCTTAGAGCGGGAAAGGGAGCTGAACGGCTCTGAAGTGGGCGTGGTTGGAAATTAGCCGAGGCAATTGCAGCCGATTTCCAACCACGCCCACTTCGGAGCTGTTAGCTCTCTTTCTAGCAGCTTTCCAAGTATGTTTTTTGAACAATAACACTTCTTACATTTTTGGCTAGGGCTAGCGCATCGTTCCATGCCATTGCTGTCGAAGGTAAAAACCCTGCTGGGACTGTTGCTTTAATGAAATCGAATACTGAATACTGATGTCAGCTTTTGAAATGCACAGGAACTTCTTGTAAGGATGCTGTATACTGGGCATACCACTCTGTCAGCAAGGCTATCCCGGTTCCGGGTTCGAGTCCAACCGAGGCAAGTTAGCCCATAATCCAGTGTTCCTGCGATGTCTTCATTACGTCCTGCGGTCAAAAACAGCAGGAAAGGAACCGAACGAGTCGAAGATTCACACTTATTACTAATTTGAGAGCAGACTAACCAAAGACAGGATCGCGAAAGCAAACTATGATAGAGAATAAGTCTTATTAGAAAAGAACGGGAAGAAGGTAGTGCCTTCAGGTAATTGAACAGTCTCGCGCTCCAATTGTGGCAGTAATTGCTGGCGGTTGCGTCGCGCTTCACGGCGGATCCGAACGCACCAGTTGGGAAAATCGCGAAATGTATCCCCTATTCGATGGACTATAACTTTCTCAAGTGAAAATCGTTTCAGAAAGGGATGGCAGATTTGAGCACAAGTCTTCTGAATACTTAACTTTGTTGAGCTTTTTTCAACCCGCCTCATCTTCTGAATTGGAGTCGAGGATCTGTCGAGGAAGTCGGATTTATTTTGCGAGCTTTCTCCATTTAAAAGACTCTGACATTCCTTATATGATGATCTCTTGAAAAGTTAAGAACTCTACTGTAAACTAGGATAATTACACTTCCTGAGGGTGCTGCAGTTGTTTTGTACGTTTTCTGGTTCGCGAGAAATCGGTGTCGAAAAAGCTTCCAAGCCGATAGAAAACTCCATTCCTCATTCGAAGAAGCAGGAAACTTTTTTTTTCAAATCCTCAAATTGCTCCTAGGATACATCGATAGAATAAATAGTAAAAAGTACACTTGGCCTAGATCCATTTCGTTCTGGTATGCGCCATGTAATGACCTTACTCGGAGTCATTTGGAAGGTGTTATGTCTGCACGACAACTCGTTAGTGCCTACCAAAAATGCTTGTAGTCTCATAGCTTAGAATAATTTCTATGCTTACTGTATAATTTTACGACTCCTTCATTTACAATGTTTATTTGCAACTCTCTCCAATGAATGGCATATTTCCGCCAGCAGTGCGTGATCATGTCAACAGGGCTTATCTCCGCGTTGTGAACTTTCGAACTAGCATCCTGGTCTCTCACTAAGTTCTTAAAACGGCTTACATTATCCTGAGCTGCGTTGTAAACAAAAACTTTGACCTAGCTTTGCATAATGGCAACCCGTCAGGACGCATGACAAACATTCAAAACGGTGAGAACATGTCATACTGTGAGCAAATTAATAAAAATACCAGCCTAGATTGCGAATGAATACTCATGGCGCATTCCTTCCTGCTTCTTATGCTAGCCGCATTCCTCCCATGCCATCAAACTGATTATAACGAGCCGAGTCAGCAGCCTTTTCCATTTTAAATATCATTTCAGGCAGTTGTAAGATATTATTTGCTTGACTCCGAGGTAAACGCTTGTAAAATTAGTGATGACAGCTGGGGAGCGGCAGCAACGGAAGTGTGTCCGTTGTTGTTCTTTACCTACAACCACCTCTCCCCATTCGACCCCCTGTCGAGGATTTCCTCAATCCTCCATACTGTTGCTGGGTGTGTTGTGTATTATAGGGAATACGTCAAGTATATAGGTATGAACAGTGTAGAGTTTAGAGCAATCAGAACTGGGATTTCTCAGCTTGT